ATGACATATTATGGATGTTGATTTATTATAGTAAACCCGGCGTTGATGTAAAAAAAGTCATAAAATCATATATTGAAAGTGAAAAATTTAATGTTAAAAATACAGTGAGAGATATTAATATTATTTTTAAAATGATGTATGAAAGAGGTAAGATATATCAATTAAATTATTATCCTGAACTTAAATTATAATCATAATATAATAACAACATGTAAAATATTATATGTTATAATTATATTTCAATATGTAATTTTATTTCTTGTAAAAAAGTATTTAAAGAAATAAACACTGTATATATTACAGTGGAAATGTTATTTAATTATTCAAAGTGCGAATGTTGTACAACTAAAAGGAATGATGTTAATATAACATTGTATAAGTTATTACCTGCTAATCTGTGTAGTAAAATAAGTGAATATGATGTATATTGTAATCAATGCTGTATAACAAGAGACCTTGAAAAGTTTTTTGTTGAAAAATATAAGGATAAGGGATATACAAAGCTTCAATTACAATTGAAATTCTTTATGAAATATCACAAAAGATTTCCTGTATATTTTTGTCATACAATTGCAAGAAAGTCATTTGAAAAAGAAATTGATGAGTTCTTCAATAATAAAGATTTGATTAAAAGGTTTGGAGGGACAAGCGCAATTAAACCATATAAAGCATTTGTTAAAAAATTTCGAGGCATGTTTGATGCGATTGATTGGCATTTATTAAGTAAAGATAAAATAAACGAGGTCTTGAATGAATTTAGAATAACTAAATATCATGTATGGTCTTACTACAACACTAAATATCAAGTATGGCTACTAGTTAATTTGTTTTTCTGGGAATATATTTATTCAATAATAGGAAAAGACAATATCAAATATATAGACATTGGCGATATTGATAAATATGTAGATTACATATTTGAAGACATTTTTCCTGACTATAAATGTAACCCATAATTATTAATCATACTATAATAATAACATTTATACCCTTATATGTTATAATTATAATGTAAGTATAGCGTTTTATATATTGAAGATAAAATCCTACAAGGCGGGCCACGCCCAAACAAATATATGATGAAACTGATGAAACGAAGGAGGGAGTGATGTTGTTGCTGTTCTATTTTTTGTCCGGGAAATGGACAAATCGTTTTTAGACAGTTCGAATATTTTTTTGATGACAAATATGTTTTGCAATATATTTTGCAAAATTTATTTTTTTGAAATGGATGAGGTGAGGAGATTGAGGAAATGATATTTTGGAGGGTAGTTGGTGAAATGAATGAGGCGAGGAGGAAGGAGAAAAGGATGGCGAAAATTTTGGAAAAATGATGATAAAAAAACGGATGAGATGGACAGAAAGGAATGTAGAAAAATGATGAAAACAAATAAGGGTAGAAGATGGAAGATGAAAAAAAATGTAGGGTGGGGGGTATGTATGAAGCAATTTATTTGCGGGGCGTGGCCCTCCACTACTCAAACTACCCATAAAAATGGGATATCACCCCATAATTTTGGGGGTCAAACCCATGCATCCAGCTGGCTCAATCTTGGCATGGGGCAAGTAAACGAAACGAGCGCCCATGTACGGCTGTTTCTCAAAATCATCCAAGTCGCCGGCCCTTGTTGGTTTCCCTTGAAACACTCGCTACAAGCGCGTTCCATTTCTGCAAGCGGGCCCAATTGAAATCCACGGGGCTAGGCAGTTCTACAGTTCATGTTCTTACGATCGGTGTCAAACACACTTCCATGTGTTTAGGCCCTGGCGGTATATGCATCTGTTCGTAGAAAAAAACGAGAAAGTATTTGATGCACTTGTATAACTAATGGAGAATAAATAGACCCATAGACTGCAAGTATCTTGACGACAGGTCGCTGTTCCCAACCAACCAACCAACCAACCAACCAACCAGCCAGCCAGCCAGCCAACCAACCAACCAACCAACCAACCAACCAACCAGCCAACCAACCAACCAACCTCCAGGCTTCACAAGAGCTAAGCACCGAACCCAATGAATGGCGCGCGATTCGGTGACTAGCTGCCCTTTTGCCACGGCTCTGGGTCTGCAAAACTGTTCGGATCAGCATGAAACTTGGCAAGAGAGAGATTGCTGTGAGACAGGGCAACGCGCAACAGCACGAGCATCACAGTACGTGTTGAATGCATAGAGCGGCAGTTGCTCCAGCTTGCTTCAGTGGATCTAGCAACTGAGGGATGAGGACAACGTAATGTCTCATCATCCCAAAAGGGTCCTGCGAAACGACAGAGCCCAGAATGGAACAAGCGAAGACATGCTTCCAGGGCTCCGTTTTTGAATGCTGCAATGTGGACTCAATCCTAGGGGCGGTTGGTTTCAAACCAAAAAGGCATTGCTTGGGAAAAGCTGACACACTACGGGTTGAGGATGAATCTAGCCTTTAAACTTTAAACCCACGCGAGCAACCATCAGACGTGGCTCCCGGCAAGGACCTCAGTCGTGCTAGAAATTTCGTCCAGACTGGAATTCCACATTCGAAATTGTCTTTTTATGTGCCACACAAACTCGCTTGCCATAGATATATGGCTTTGTCATTTTGTTGAGACCCAAACTAAGCGGGCTCCAAATCGGTGTCCCTTTCCAACCAAAGACTTCGGGTACCCTCAAAGCAAGACAGGCTCTTGCTGGTTGGTAACCAGTGCAACTTGCGGATTTTGTGTAGACTTCCCGTGCAGCTGGCTGCTTAGAGAGTCGGGATTGCCCGCGGCGGTGCTAACTCGCTTTCGGAAGGCACCGCTTCAACGCGGATGGCAGTCTGGGTTCGAAACTGCCAGAAGGAACAAAACTGCATGGCTTCGGGCTCGTTTGCCACAGTCCATTGCGAACCGACATGGGCAGCTGAGTCTCACGCATCTGGTGCTTGGCCTTTTGTCAGCACGCATTGGCTGGTGCTCGCTCGCCCCGAGCTCTAGTAAGCCAAGATGGCTGAGACTTCAAAGAATTGCTCGCTGAGATCTTCGCCCCAAGATCCTTTCATAAGGCACGAACCTCCGACCAAGTCTCAATTTGCCCTGTCAACCACCATGATGTCCCTCCATTTGCATATACCCCCTGGAAAAAAAAATAATATGTCCAGTAGTGATAAATTCCCTTTAAGGCCAATGGGAAAAATACAAACAAACTTGAGCGAATGGAAGTGGCTACGCCCTCCTGAAAGTATGCAGCCCTGTTGCTGACAACTACTGCAGATCTCAGCGCTTACCACTTACCAGCTCGAGCAGCATGCTTGTAAAGAATATAAAGCTCAATCGGCAGGATAAACTCTTTGGCCTTAAATATGTATGAATTTGTACTGCAGAATTGTCTGGGGACAGCCTCGAAACCTCAGGGGAGATCTGTTGAACAAAGGCTCTCTGCGAAAAGGACATGGGTAACTTGGGTGTCCCCTATCGGTTATATCTCAGTATTTCGCAGAATGCATCACCCGCACAGGGATGTTTCTATCAACAAATAGGAACTCTTGGAAGCAGTGTTGTGCTAAAAGCATACTTGGCAGCTCCAGCCCAAGCGTAGTACGCAAAGGATGCTTGTTCGAAAATTGCAACTCTTTAGTACAAGCCTAATACGTGAAGCTCACTTTTGCACACCAAGTACTCTTTGGCAGCTCCTGCCTAAAAATCACAACGAGGGATTCCTCTTCCCTTTCAATGCAAACGCAGCCTTTGGGCAAATGATACCAACCGACCCTACCAGCCACCAGGGCTGTGGGAATCGGGCTCCCCATCTGTTCAAAGCTTGTGGAAAATTGTGCGCCTTTCAAATCACACTTCTGGACTCTTGCGCACTTGCCGTTCTCGCATCTGTGCTTCTGGGTGCCTTTTCTACGGAACATCAATCGTCCGTTCATTCTGGACATAGGTCAACAAGTGTTATAAAGGGTATCGATATTTGGGGCGTCCCCTATCGGTCATGCATGTTCCGCTTTTTGGGACGTTCCGTATCAACTTGGATCGACCAGCATAGAAACATGGACGCCCAAACATCTTGAAGGAAGAAAAAAGGCTTGTACAACACACATCACGGCAAGGTCAACCACAAATATGGTCTAGCTGCAACAGGGTTGGCAACAAAACAGGGAATTGCCTTTCACCCAAGGGTTCCAATTTTGTCGACCGATCTCGACACGCATCTGAACTGTGTTGGTGTCACTGTCTTTGCCAAAGAGCATCCCCGGTCAGGATTGCGACGCCCAGTCTGGCCTTTTGCCAAACTGGCAAGCGCGAAGATCAAGATTGGGCTCCGGCATTCAGGCTCAGCTTACAGCCTGCGCCAGCTGTTCAAAGGGAGCCTGCAACATCGAAGAGCCTGGCAAGGACTGCGCGGAGCGAAGCAGAGACAAGCCTCCTGGAAAAGAATGACAAGGTTTCAAGCAGTGATAGAATCCCTTTGAAAACCAGCAGGAGAAGAGGGTCCTCCGAGAATCACGGACGCTGACACACAATCTTTCAGGTATCTGGTTGTTTTGACCGTGGCACAGTTGCGCAACTTCGGGTAAAAGCGTGGGTGGTTTTTCCAAGAATGGTTCGGGGGTCAAAGCCAAATCCGAACCAATCCAAGCCACGAGCTAAGGCCAACCTGAACAAAGGTCTTTTTTGGTGGACCCCAAGTTCGTGGAGAGACTTTCTCTCAAAGAGACCCTGCTGAGTTCCATTCTGGAGGTTGACAACTTTGGTTGGCAGAAGGGAAACTAGAAGGAAACTGACAATTTGGGATTTGCCGGTTCTGTTTCTGACCTTGCTCTCTTCATAACAGTCCCTGTACAGGCTTGCTTCTTTGCACACTTGATGTTACAAAGATCAGCGCGGAATATTGCATCTACTCTGAAACATCATCGACACACAAATACACGGAGCGGCCACAGGTCTATTTGTATGTAGCCCTGTACAAAAGGGGTTCTCCGTGCACAGCAGTCCGCTGGCATCACCATTTTGACGTCCAAACCAACCAACTCTTCAACGCATCACCCAGCTCTTCGCAAAGCAGAAACCGTCCAACCGCCATGTGCATGACGTCCTTTATCCGGGGTCGTCAACTCAGCCTTCGAAAACGCCTGCGAGAAAGCTTGGGTCGTGGTCCGATCGTAGTCTCTATTCTCGCCATTTTTATCATCTTCATCGCCGGATTCACCAGGGTCACTGCGAACCGTCTGGCTCTCGTGCTTGGTGGATTCTCCCGTGAGCTGCAAGACCTCCGACATCTCCGACGCGACCCAACAAAGCTTCCACTTGCCAGTTGCGGTCACTTGGGAGTCAAACGAATAGCCGCACTCGGCGTCATGGTCATGGTGCTTCTTGCTGTAGCTGAAAGTGCCGCCGGCATAAATCTTGAGGTCTATGTCCACACTGGTCTCTTCCAGACCACATCGGCGTCCCCGGATGTAACTCTTGGAGAAGCGCTTATTTGTGCACCATTCCGGCTCCGATTGCACCACGGCAAGAATGCTGCGACCAGAGATGTCTGCGACGCTCCAGTCATCCTTCACCTCTTCACCGGCAGCTGAGTCTAGGAAAAGCGAAAACGCGGCCGCGTCCAAGTTGAGCGCTTCCAAGATCTTGCTCTTCACTTCAACGACCTTTTGGCTGGCATCCGCGGTCACATTGCCTTCCACACCACTGAGCAAAGCCACCCGAAAGGACAGCTGACTCTCAGTCATCGCGAAATGCGATGGAGTTTGGAGTGAACAGGGGGCGCTTGAGACAAGGCAGGGGTGGCGCTCGTTCGGGGTGAATACGTTCCGCGAAGGAAGAATGCACCTTCTTCCATCTGGGCCGTGTTCCTTTGCGCAATTGCCTTTACCTGTGGCATACCTAGCGGAATCCGGAAACCACTTCTGCGGGTGGGGACAAATGCCTTTACAAAGGACAGCTTAAGGACAGCTTGTTCGGAATGACTTTTCGGACTTTTAGAGGATGTGCCTGTTCATTTTCAGAGAGCAGTGATGAGCTCTCGGCCACTCAATGCGAAAAACCAAGCGCGGCATTGTGCTTTTAGATTCCCGCCCCATTTTCCTGGGTCATCCAAGTCTGACTGGGTCGACCCCTTCACAAACCAAATCACGCTCCTCTGAAAAATCCCGTATGAATCCACAAACCAGGGGCCCGTAACACGGTCCAAGTTTCTGAGCGGACTCCAAAAGGTTGGTCATTGAATGGTTTGCCTTCTGTCTGATCGAGGAAGGGTATTTTGAGGGAATGCCCCCCGTCCACTTCCATGAGTGGCACTTGTTTTTGGTGCTTTGAAGCCAAACGTGGCCCCCTTTGACACACCAACATGTAAGGTCAACACTTGTTCTTGAGGGCCAAGCTGCTCGAATCGTTGACCACACCCTAGCACCCTGGACCCATTTGCTCACGTCCCCAGCTGGAGCCCTACGGTGCGCCTCTGAAAGCTTGTCCATGGTCAAGTTCATTGCCACAAAACTGCTAAGCCCATATGGGTGTCTCTCAACATAGAGGACCCCCAACTGATATATATATATATATATATGTTTTTTCCTTCTGGCCTCCTTAAACGGGTACCCTCAAAAGGGAGTCCCCCCACCCCAGAAACCAACAGAGGTGGCTATTTTCGCTATCTCCAGAACCCCTCAAACTTGGCGTTCCGATTGCTGGAACTTTTGCCAAGGCAGTGTGCCGAGCAAAAAAGGCGCGCTGAAAGCTTCGCAGTTGGATCCTCCGGAGGGTCTCTGGAAGGCTGGAGATTCGTAGAAAAACATAGAAAAACCTTCGAGGCCGAATGTGAGGATTGACCAGCTCCTTTTTTTTGCGACTTGTGGATTCCGGGCTCTCCGTTTCAGATCGAGTTCACTTGGGGGCTACGTGGGAACCACTTTGAACCAACTGAAAGCTACACACCCAAGGAGCCGGATACGGGCAGAGCTGGTTGCTTCAGCTCCCTCGCCTCGGTCTACTTCGAGTCGGAGTCGGACCACGGCAAGTACTCCTTCGGCATCTCCTAGCGCTTCACCGGCCAAGGCTGCGTGGGACATCTGAGGTCACCATCAAAGAAGGGATCGGTACTAAAAATGGACTACCTGCCCAGAACCACCAAGGCAGCTGTCGGCCGCAGCCAGAAAATGGCTGGCTGGAATTGTCCCTTACCCTCGCTTGGCTCACTTCACCCCCTTGTGAGACAAAGCAAGGGGCCCCAACCCCTCCCCCCCCTGCCGTTTGGGCTCAAAAGGAACCTAAGGCAGGTCCGGATGTGATTTGCCGTAGTCAGACTTGAGATCTTGAGCCATGTCTGGCTGGTCTGCGTCCTGTGGCTGGAGTTGCTGGATTGCATGTGAGTCTGCTCATTCCGCCAGAAACAAGCCAACATGTTTCAAGCTTGCAACGAGTGCGTCTTCGTGCAACCTTGCAGCGCAACTGATGAAGCGTGCACATGCATCTCCTTTGGTCTTTGAGCGCCCGCTTCCTCTGCGCAGAGCGGATTTTTCGCGTGCTTTTGTTCGACACTTGACTGCCTCTGTTTGATGAGACATGCTCGTTGAGATTTACAACCCCGCATAAATTCCGAGCAGAGCCCCGGCTCGCATTCCGTCCTTGATGATGTTCGCTGAAATCACCAAGGCTCCACCTCGCCCACGAAACATGGCCATCTGGGTCCACGTTTCTTGCTGCAGGTAGGTACCCAGTGTTGGGAATGAACCATTTGGGATTCCCCTAAAGGAAACCACGGCTATTCATTCGCTCATTCCCTGCTGAGAACCAGCCAGTGTTCTAAGACATCCTCAACATGACCCAAGCTTGGTGAAGTCAATGGAACTCCCCCAAAGTCATGTTGAAGCTCCGAATTGCAACCAAGCTTGCAGGAGACACCCGCCCGTGCCGGAAAATGACTTGAGAACCCTTCAAAACGTCCCCAGCAGTGATGCAGGAAATTGCAGTGATCCAAGAAACCAGCAGAAAATTCTCCAGGAAATCAACTCGTTGGTAGGTCTTTGGCCCTCTTGCGGGTGTCTTTTTGTTGGGAACCTTCCTCTGGTGTCGTTTAATGGATACCAAACCAAAAAGGCACGTAACTTTTTTTGGCGGTCCCCGAATTCTGAGACAAACCTTTCTAAGTGATCAGAGTGGCTCCCGTAAGGCGAATCTCTGCAGTGCCGGGTCTCGGAGCTTCTGATTGGAGCCAGGCTTAGAGTCGAAGCCACTTTTCAGAGGGAAGGACTGTTGTAACTCCGCGCCTTCCGTGTTCGTGAACTTTTTCCAGGGGCTCCTTCCCAGATTTTTTTCCAGCGCGGGAAATTGGAAATTCTCCTGAGCCCAGCCGGCTCGCTCGAGCCTCTGAAACGGAAGGAGTGGGAAAAAAAAACGTGGAGTTTGATGGAAGATTCAGACACGTTTCTTGTTGGTTCACTCACTTGAGTGGATTAGCCAAAAAGAGTCTGAGCTTGCTATATTTCGGAAAAACCTGGAACTCGGGGAGTTGATTTCAAAGCAACCACGTTCTTAAGCAAATTATGAAACTCGCTGGGGGGTGTTGCCCTCCCAAAGTGATGAATTTCCGCCAAAAGGGACCACCCCCCTTTCAAGCAACCAGGTTTTTTTTAGTCCGGGAGTCCCATGAAGCTGGGCTGTCCTCAGATCTCCTGCAAGTTTAACCTTTAGTGGGCCAAGCTCGGAAACCCAACCACCAAACCAACAATAAATCCGGAGAAACCCAAGTTGCACCGGACTTGACCAAGGCATCTCCGGACTTTTATCAACGCATCGGGTCCGTCGCTCGCTCCCACTTCGACTTGCTTGCCCAGTTGCCCACCGCATCCACGGAGGAGAAGGGCTCGTTGATCAGCCACACCGCAAAGATGGCCGCCCACAAGGGCTCGGTGGTGAAGATCACCTACGTCAAAAACCTCCGCTTTTTATTTGGCCATGGGCTTCTCAAAATCCGGAAAGCCCGGTCAGCCCCCAGTGAACATCCGATTCAATGCAACCAAAGAGGTTCTAAAAAGGGTGCACCTACCAACCGAAATGGAATCCTAGTGGTGTTGACCCACGGCCTTTTGACGGGGAGACTGCAAAACCCAGAAATGGTGAGCCCGATTTTGGGAGAACCGGTTCCTGGGAGAAACTCGTCCATGTAACTAGTCGAAAAGTGTTTTTTTCACATTTTATTAGAGGCAAATTGTGTGAGGATGTTTATTTGAGAAATTCTTGAAAATGTGTTTTGTAAAAAAAAAAAAAGAAGCTGTGTTGCGATGTTGATTAAAAAAAATGGGCCTTAAAGAAACACATATTTGAATTTAAAAATGGAACCCTCCCAGAAAGTTGACTCCTGAAAAACTCGAATTCACTCGAACACACTTTAGGGACCAAAAGGTGGTGGTTTAAAGGGAAACATAGGGAGGCTTGTTTGCTGGGAGGGGTGCCTGGACCCACAAACTACCCAACAAAAAGATATTGCCCCAAGCTGATGGATCGTGTCCCGGGTTTTGTTGGTAGTTTGAGGGTCCAGGCGGGGTTCCGTGGGATTTGCTTTAACACAAATCCAACAGTGCCAACTCCAAAGCCAAGGGGTACCTTCTCCATTTGGATTCAAAAGGAAGAACTGCGGTTCAAACCCCCAAATCGCCAATCCAAACCACCAATTCAGGGTTGCCTGACGTCTGGAAACCATAGGGAAACCATAGGAAACCACAGGAAAATTATAGCGGTAACCATAGAGGACCCATGAGAAAACAAAAAAACAGAGGCGGCGCCCGGAGAAAAAAAAAAAAAAAAAAAAAACGAACACCGATGCGAAGGCGCCGACGCCGAGGCGGCGTCCACGAAGCGGAAGGCCACCGACTCCACCAGCAGCGCCTTCGGTTCGGGACGGGACGCCCAAAACGAGGCTTGGTACATGGAGATCCATATCCTGGTGGTTTGGTTTTGATACCCAAAGAAGAAAAATATGACGGTTAAGCCATATTGAGAGTTGTTGTTTATCCTTCTTATTTGGCATATCAGGGGTAGGTTCCAGAAGCCTGGTGGTACATGATGGGTGCGTCTTTGTCTAGGTTGGACCCCCGCCCAAAAAAAAAAGAAGACCGATCTCGGTGTTCCTTCTGGGTTGCCCTTAAAAATCCACCCAAAACAGGGGCACCAACTCCAAGAAAGGCGAGCCGCCCATATCAAGCGCCAAGCTTTAGCCCTTTGCCACCGGCGAGATATGTGGGTTTGCCTGAAAGGAAAACTGACCCACACCAAACTAGAATATGAAACCCAATTGCTTTTCTTTTGAGTCTGTCTGACACTAGGAATCCTTGAACCACTTCCCAAAATGGTTGTTGTTGTTTGTTTTGGGCTTGCGCAAAAGACTGGTAAGGGACATGGAACCACCAATGCCTTTGGGTTTCCTTTTGGGCTGCCCAAACCAAACGAAAAAAAGGTCGCCTCAGAATTTGAAGCGCGGCCAAGTCTCCCGAACCCCCACCCAAGTGACTTTTGAAGGAGCTTCCCCTGCTGATGGGTGCAGGGGGTTCCATGTTTCAATTCGCCGAGTGGGCTCTTCACAAAAAACAAAAACAAACCATGAAACCATTTCAAGAGGAGCGGCAGGTTGGTCTTTTTGTTGCTGGCCCCGGCTGTTTACTGGCCCCGGCTCAGCACAAGGCACGCGTCTCAGGTTGGGGCCTGATTGACCAGGCGGGTCAATTTGGTTGGCCGAATCCCAGCATAACCTGCCTCGCTCGACCAAAGGGCTGTCTATTGGTGGCAGTTCAGAGATGGCTGGTTTGGGGTGAGTGTTGGGCTCGCTGAGGTATTTATGAGGGCGGGTCTTGGGTTTGCTTGGTGTTCATTTAGGCTCGGCAAGGGGAGTTTAAGGTTGGTTTGGGCTCGAGTTCGGGTTGCTTTAGGGCTGTGGTTGCGCGAGTTTTGGTCCAGGTTTGCTGGTTTAAGGCGAACCAACGCCCAGCCAGCCCAAAGCCCACTTCAAAGCCACGCTCTTTGTCCTCTTCTTTCGGGGCCAAGACCTAAGCAGAGCAACCTCTTTGTCTCCTCCGGCTTGGAGAAACCCCAAGACCCGATTTCCCAACGGCAGCCACCAAACCCGAAACCCGGGCGGCCAGAGCCGTGGTGACCAGGCCGGTGTAGAGGACGCCGGCCCTGTCGACAGACTGCCAAGGAGGGAAAAATGGTTTCTCGGTGACGAAATCTGCGAAGCCCTGCCAAAAGTGACTAACTTTTAGTGGTTTAATACGGAAAACCCATTAGTTGCAAAAGGTTAAAGTCCTAACAGCCAAGCAAAATGCACCAAAGGTTTGGACCTGACGCCTCTTTGACTCTGCAACTCGAGACAAATACGCCAAACTGAATGCTGTGGATGGTTTAAAAATCCATTTCGCACCCCCTAAGAAACCATGGCTGAAGCCAGTGTTTCTTGGTATTTACCGGGGAATCATCGGAAAGCGGGGTTTTTAACGGCAGTGCGAAATGGGCTTCGTCCATCCACATATGGGGGTTGTTCAAAATAAAAGTTCCTGGAAACGGCCCTTTCGCCGGCCTTTCGCGGTCCTTTCGCGGCCCCATGGTTTCCTTTCGCGGTGACAAACCAGTCCTGAAAAACTTGTTTCCGAGCCCAAACGAGGGTTCTACCATGTATTCGTTATGTTTCAAGTCCTTTCGCGTTCCTTTCGCCGGCCTGTCGCGATGCAGTGTTTTCCTTTCGGGCTAGACCATCAGAACCTCCCTTTACTTAATTTTAAGACTGGCAATTTAGAACGACTCCCATATGTTCACCAGCGGCTCCTGTGGAAACAAAAACACCTTGGATGCACCTCGTGCGCCGATCAGAACGGGGCCCGGAGGTTTCGGAGGTATCCTGCCAGCGGCTCAAACTCGAGTCCAAGCCAAGACGCAGATTCTCCCGGGCTACCGCGACTTCAGGAAACACGCAAAAACAAAATGCAAAAAACAAGGCGGGAGGACTGGAAAACCAAAGTCTTAAAGATGCATTTCGCCAATCCAGTTGGGGGTGACAACTGGAGATTGGCAGAAAGTCTCCGGATCGGCCCGGATGTCAAACATGAGCCCCTGCCTGCCAGACCAACCAGACCAAATCAAAACAAATCTCTCCCCTCACCGTCCCCCTATAGTATGACTCCTAAAAACCAAAAAGCATAAAAACAACTCTTCCCCCCCCTTCCGCCGCCCCACTGTCCCCCCAAGGAACAAAGAAGAGACAACTCCATCCCATTGGATTTTTGGTCCTAAGACGTTAGAGAGACAAAAAATGCGCCGCCTCTACTGTGGATGGTTGCGAGTCATCCGCTGCTCGCACCACGAAACTAAACCCACGTCTGAAAGCTACGGGGGGAGAACGCAAAAAAACCTGCCGTCGGATCGAAAAGACGCCGCCGGCTTCCACTTGTTCCGGCTTCCGGGGGCCCCTTCGTTCCCATCGGGGGTCCGAGTTCCGCGCACGGCCAGGTTGTTGGAGAAGACGGGCTCCAGGTCCACGGCCCCCGAGGTGGCGGCGAAGTAGGCCCAGCTGGCCAGCGCCGCCATGCTGAGCTTCACCGCCTCGAGCCGGACGCGCGGGTGATAAAATCAACGCCGAGTTGGAGCAGATCGAGCAACACACATGGGGGGTGAAGAAAAGAAAAGAAGGAACGAGTTGAGGCAAAAGAAGAAAGCGCGCAGCCATTTAGAGACCCTTCCTCCGAACTGTGATTAAAACAACACAGAAAAAAAAAAGCGACAAAGGAATGGCACAAGGCAACTCCCGCACCCTTTGTCCTTTGGTCAGACAAGAAACAAACGGCAAACGGGCGACCAGTCACGCAGCAACTTTTAAAACCGGACGCATAAAAGAAGGTGTGTTGAAAGGTGGTTCGCCGATTTTTGCAACCTACACTTTCGCAAATCCGGTTGCCAAATCACCTTACCCGATGAAAAAACGACACTGGGCATACAACCACCAGATAGGTTATTCTACAGTTGTGTTTTGGCCATCTTTTAAATGCCTGAATGACACGCTATTGGTACTGGTGCTTTCCTTACTACGTGCCCTATAAAAACCCGGTTTTTCGAGTTAATGTCACGAGACGATGAGTAAACCCCCCCCCCCGATTAAAGGTTCCCCTTTTCGCCCCAGATTCTCACCAATACTAAAGTAAAGTACCAACAAGGTTTCCCCAAAAAAAACCTACCCAAATATTTTTTGGGCCATCCCCAAAACCCCCCTGATTAAAGGTATCCCTCTGCAGCCCCCAAGCCAACAAAAACCTGCCAGAAAAGGTGCTTTCCTTCTTGCTTAGTAATCTTAGGACTTGATTAATAAATCCCCCCGGAATAATGACTTTTTCTCGCCCCGGGCCAGAAAAAATCCAATACTTATTTTTAATTAGCCAATACATAGTTTAGTCTTGGTGCCCCAGTTGACACAAGAAATCCCCCCGGAATAATAACTTTTCCGAGGCCAGAACTCCCAAAATTCGAATACTAGTTTTAATCTCCCCAATACTAATTGCAATTCAAACCCGGTGGCCAAGCAAACAAACACAAGGTTTCTTGGACTCCAGCCCTGCCTCCCCCACATCAAAGCAACCCCCCTACAACTATGCTCCTGCAGCCCCACAGCAAAGGGACAAGCGGGGGGGGCCAGATCAAGCAGAATTCCTTCCTGCGCCGCCTTGTCGGCAGATCTCTTTGGTGTAATGGATAAAGCATTAGCTTTGAAAGCGCAAGGTACTGGGTTCCATGCCTCGTGGCGTCTTTTTCCTTGTGCTGGTTCCTTTCCTCTTGCTGTGGTGGCCTTGGCTTTTTTTCTGCTCTGGGGGTTGTCCTTGAGTTTCAGAAGTGCTCTGTTCCCAAACCCCAAAGCTCCAACACGCTTCACCAGCACCAAAACTTGCAACCCCAAGTACTCAGCTTGTACTGAAGACCTAGACTTTTCATCCTTGCGTGGACTTCTGCACAGCAAGGCTCAGCAAGCGGTGCCCCCCTACAATAATAGCATTACCCAGAATAATAGCCAAGCCCTGCAGCCACTGGGGCCTGTAACAATGCTTCTGCTGATGTGCTGGAGCAATCTTTTGCGGCCCTGCCTGGAGGCCAAGTGAACTTCCAGTGCCGGTTTGGAGACTTGTTGTATCTGGTGCTTCCCAGAAGCCTTCGCCTGGTGGTCCAGTGAACTTTCACTGGTGTGGCAAGGCTGCTTTGGACACTTGTTGGCTTTGGGTCTGCACTTGCAAGCCTTGCCTGTGGCCCATCGAGGTTCTACTGGTGTGCCAGGCTGCTTTGGACACGTGTTGGGTGCTTCGGGTTGTTTATTGAAACCTGCTGCTTCCTCAGCACTTGCAAGCCTTGCCTGTGGCCCATCCAGGTTCCACTGGTGTGCCAGGCTGCTTTGGACACGTGTTGGGTGCTCAGGGTTGTTTATTGAAACCTGCTGCTTCCCCAGCAGTTGCAAGCCTTGCCTGTGGCCCATCAAGGTTCCACTGGTGTGACAGGGCTGCTTTGGAAACTTGTCGGTGGCTTTGGGTTGTTTATTGGACCCTGGTGCTCTTGCTGCCTGGCCCGTGGCTTCAGTGAGCTCCCCTGGTGTGGCAAGCCAAATCGGGCACTTGTCCTGGCTTTTGAGCTTCCACTGTGGCAGTGCCACTGTTTGGTCCTGGAGGTTGTGTGCTTCCCAGCACTTTGTGGCCTTGCCTGTGGCTCCAGGTGTGGCAGGGCCAGCTTGGACCCTTGGGGTTGCTTGACCTAGCCAGCCTGCTGAGTTCAGGCCGACAGCCCCACAGCAAAGGGACAAGCGGGGGGAGCAGAATTCCTTCCCGCGCCGCCTTGTTGGCAGATCTCTTTGGTGAAATGGATAACGCATTGTCTTTGGCAGCACAAGGGGCTGGGTTCGATTCCTCATGGCGTCTTTTTCCTTGTGCTGGTTCCTTTCCTCTTGCTGTGGTGGCTTTGGTTTTTTTCAGCTCTGGGGGTTGTCCTTGAGTTTCACTGAAGACCTAGACTTTTCATCCTTGCGTGGACTTCTGCACAGCAAGGCTCAGCAAGCGGTGCCCCCCTACAATAATAGCATTACCCAGAATAATAGCCAAGCCCTGCAGCCACTGGCCCCCAAATTCCCAAACCCAAAGCTCCACACAATTCCAAAATCCCAAACTTCACCAGCACCAAAACTTGCAATGCAAAGTACTCAGCTTGTAGACCTTAGGCTTTTCATCCTTGCATGGACTTCTGCACAGCAAGGCTCAGCAAGCGGTCCCCCCCTACAATAGTAGCAGTACCCAAAATAATGGCCAAGCCCTAGGGCCACGGGCCCCCAAATTACCAAACCCAAAGCTCCAAACAATTCCAAAATCCCAAACTTCACCAGCACCAAAACTTGCAATCCCAAGTACTCAGCTTGTACTGAAGACCTTAGACTTTTCATCCTTGCATGGACTTCTGCACAGCAAGGCTCAGCAAGCGGTCCCCCCCTACAATAGTAGCAGTACCCAAAATAATGGCCAAGCCCTAGAGCCACGGGCCCCCAAATTCCCAAACCCAAAGCTCCAAACAATTCCAAAATCCCAAACTTCACCAGCACCAAAACTTGCAATCCCAAGTACTCAGCTTGTACTGAAGACCTTAGACTTTTCATCCTTGCGTGGACTTCTGCACAGCAAGGCTCAGCAAGCGGTGCCCCCCTACAATAATAGCATTACCCAGAATAATAGCCAAGCCCTGCAGCCACTGGGGCCTGTAACAATGCTTCTGCTGATGTGCTGGAGCAATCTTTTGCGGCCCTGCCTGGAGGCCAAGTGAACTTCCAGTGCCAGTTTGGAGACTTGTTGTATCTGGTGCTTCCCAGAAGCCTTTGCCTGGTGGTCCAGTGAACTTTCACTGGTGTGGCAAGGCTGCTTTGGACACTTGTTGGGTGCCTTTGGGTCTGCACTTGCAAGCCTTGCCTGTGGCCCATCGAGGTTCCACTGGTGTGCCAGGCTGCTTTGGACACGTGTTGGGTGCTTCGGGTTGTTTATTGAAACCTGCTGCTTCCTCAGCACTTGCAAGCCTTGCCTGTGGCCCATCCAGGTTCCACTGGTGTGCCAGGCTGCTTTGGACACGTGTTGGGTGCTTGGGGTTGTTTATTGAAACCTGCTGCTTCCCCAGCAGTTGCAAGCCTTGCCTGTGGCCCATCAAGGTTCCACTGGTGTGACAGGGCTGCTTTGGAAACTTGTTGGTGGCTTTGGGTTGTTTATTGGACCCTGGTGCTTCCCCAGCACTCGCTGCCTGGCCCGTGGCTTCACTGAGCTCACCCTGGTGCCAAATCGGGCACTTGTCCTGGCTGTTGCTGTTTGGTCCTGGAGGTTGTGTGCTTAGACCCTTCAGGTTGCTTGACCTAGCCAGCCCGCTGGGCTCAGGCCGACACCCACAGCAAAGGGACAAGCGGGGGGCCAGATCAAGCAGAATTCCTTCCCGCGCCGCCTTGTCAGCAGATCTCTTTGGTGAAATGGATAAGGCATTGTCTTTCACAGCCCCCAAGGTGCTAGGTTCAATTCCTCGCGGCGTCTTTTTCCTTGTGCTGGTTCCTTTCCTCTTGCTGTGGTGGCTTTCGATTTTTTCAGCTCTAGGGGTTGTCCTTGAGTTTCAGAAGTGCTCAGTTCCATATTCCCAAACCCAGAGCTCCAACACGCTTCACCAGCACCAAAACTTGCAACCCCAAGTACTCAGCTTCTGAGTACTGAAGACCTTAGACTTTTCATCCTTGCATGGACTTCTGCACAGCAAGGCTCAGCAAGCGGTCCCCCCCTACAATAGTAGCAGTACCCAAAATAATGGCCAAGCCCTAGAGCCACAGGCCCCCAAATTCCGAAACCCAAAGCTCCAAACAATTCCAAAATCCCAAACTTCACCAGCACCAAAACTTGCAATCCCAAGTACTCAGCTTGTACTGAAGACCTTAGACTTTTCATCCTTGCCTGGACTTCTGCACAGCAAGGCTCAGCAAGCGGTCCCCCCCTACAATAGTAGCAGTACCCAAAATAATGGCCAAGCCCTAGAGCCACGGGCCCCCAAATTCCCAAACCCAAAGCTCCAAATTCCAGAACCCCAAAACTCACCAGCACCAAAACTTGCAATCCCAAGTACTCAGCTTGTACTGAAGACCTTAGACTTTTCATCCTTGCATGGACTTCTGCGCAGCAAGGCTCAGCAAGCGGTCCCCCCCTACAATAATAGCAGTACCCAAAATAATGGCCAAGCCCTGCAGCCACTGGTTCCCACATTCCCAAACCAAAAGCTCCAAACAATTCCAAAATCCCAAACTTCATCAGCACCAAAACTTGCAATCCCAAGTACTCAGCTTGTACTGAAGACCTTAGACTTTTCATCCTTGCATGGACTTCTGCGCAGCAAGGCTCAACAAGCGGTGCCCCCCTACAATAATAGCATTACCCAGAATAATAGCCAAGCCCTGCAGCCACTGGCCCCCAAATTCCCAAACCCAAAGCTCTAATTAAACAATTCCAAAATCCCAAACTTCATCAGCACCAAAACTTGCAATCCCAAGTACTCAGCTTGTACTGAAGACATTAGACTTTTCATCCTTGCATGGACTTCTGCACAGCAAGGCTCAGCAAGCGGCGCCCCCCTACAATAATAGCAGTACCCAGAATAGTGGCCAAGCCCTGCAACCACTGGCCCACAAATTCCCAAACCCAAAGCTCCAAACAAGTCCAAAATCCCAAACTTCACCAGCACCAACACTTGCAATCCCAAGTAGTCAGCTTGTACTGAAGAGCTTAGACTTTTCATCCTTGCCTGGACTTCTGCGCAGCATGGCTCAGCAAGCGGTGCCCCCCTACAATAATAGCATTACCCAGAATAATGGCCAAGCCCTGCAGCCACTGGTTCCCACATTCCCAAACCAAAAGCTCCAAACAATTTGCAATCCCAAGTACTCAGCTTGTACTGAAGACCTTAGACTTTTCATCCTTGCCTGGACTTCTGCACAGCAAGGCTCAGCAAGCGGTGCCCCCCTACAATAATAGCAGTGCCCAGAATAGTGGCCAAGCCCTGCAACCACTGGCCCACAAATTCCCAAACCCAAAGCTCCAAACAATTCCAAAACCCAAAACTTCACCAGCACCAAAACTTGCAATCTCAAGTACTCAGCTTGTACTGAAGACCTTAGACTTTTCATCCTTGCATGGACTTCTGCACAGCATGGCTCAGCAAGCGGTGCCCCCCTACAATAATAGCATTACCCAGAATAATGGCCAAGCCCTGCAGCCACTGGTTCCCATTCCCAAACCAAAAGCTCCAAACAATTCCAAAATCCCAAACTTCATCAGCACCAAAACTTGCAATCCCAAGTACTCAGCTTGTACTGAAGACCTTAGACTTTTCATCCTTGCATGGACTTCTGCACAGCAAGGCTCAGCAAGCGGTGCCCCCCTACAATAATAGCATTACCCAGAATAATGGCCAAGCCCTGCAGCCACTGGTTCCCACATTCCCAAACCAAAAGTTCCAAACAATTCCAAAATCCCAAACTTCATCAGCACCAAAACTTGCAATCCCAAGTACTCAGCTTGTACTGAAGACCTTAGACTTTTCATCCTTGCATGGACTTCTGCACAGCAAGGCGCAGCAAGCGGTGCCCCCCTACAATAATAGCATTACCCAGAATAATGGCCAGGCCTACACTACCCCCTACAATAATAAAACCCCCTCAGAATAAATGTCATCTACAAACCAGAATTCCACAAAAAAATGCACCTTCAATTTAATTTTAAATTGCCCTTCACTTTTCTTCTTTCTTGTCTCTCTGCCTTCCCATCCCCCCCTCCCCCCTTCCACCCCCCCACAATTTGGACCCAGGCTTGTTGTAGGGGGGGGGGGGGGGGGGTAGCGGGGGGGGGGGGGGGACCGGGGGGGGGGGGGACCGGGGGGGGGGCCCCCCTATTAATCAAGAGCAAAGATTATTTGCTTAGTCTGTGCTTAAACCCACCAATACTAAGTCACTATTGAACCCCTCAAGTTTTTTCCCAAGCATGTGCTTCCCCCGAAATGCATTTTTCTTTATTAAAATTTGTTAAAGTCCTACTGCCCCGAAGGGACCAGAAGTAAGAGGACAAGGACCGAAGGGGCTTCCTCCCAAAAATTCCAAAAATCTCATTTTTTGGGACTTGTCCAAACCTTGTCGACCTTGAAGGGGGGGGGGGAGGGGGGGGTTACTAATCAGTTGTCACCATTATTGGTGGGCAAAGTTAGGGAGTTGCTTAAACCAACCTCTTTATGAGGCATTGGAATTTGGGACACGCTCATATCCTTCCAGTTGCAACCAGTGACCTTGGCAGAAACAGGGAATGCTTTTCGGGATTGACCTTTTTTGGAGGAGAGCTCACCAAACAACCAGCCAAGTCAAAAACTTGGTTACAAGCATTAAGAAACTTGTCCGCCCCTTCAGAGTTGGGCGATTCACCCTGTTTCACCCAGAACCTCCTGGGGTAAAGCTAGTTGACTACTGGACTTAAACCCAGCAATTGCCTTCCTTTTGAAGAAATAATCCGCGGGCTGGTTGACCGACTGTCTGTACCTTGGCCAAATGGCTGTCACGGGCAGAGCATCCTTGGGATTCTCCGCCATGATTTCCTCGAGGCGGATGTAGCCTGAAATGAAGACAGAAGCCCAAAACGACCCCCCTTAAAATAATCAAATCAATCTAAATATATACGTCCAGGGCCCTGGGCGACACATAGGCCCTAAGCTTCCCTCTTCCCACCCCGCTTCCCCCACAACTGCTTTTCTCTTATTTGTCGGATCTCTTTGTGGGTTTCGAGATCGAGAAAAGTGGCATCCCCACACCTTCCGGATTCTGCCTATGTTCTCAGTGCCTACCCTCAGCTCGCGGTTGCCTGTACCTCAATTCACTCAAAAACGACACACAACCGAGGGGGATTTGGATTCTTTCCGCAGGGTCTTTGCACCCATTCAAAAAAATGGAAGGTTCTTCCCAGGCTCCTTAATTGCGTGACGGTCTCCTACACTACCTGCTAAATGGACGTCAAAACCGGGGGCCCCACTGACACACAAAAAAACGCAGGGTGGGACGCCGACGCAGCTGTCACGCAGCAGGGCTCTGCTTCTTGAGAACCCCCATAGACGCAGATATGGACAAGACCCACACATTTGGGATCCCTGGCAAGCTTTTCGGGGTGTGATGGTTATAGGCTAGGTCTCAAGATAAATGGGTCCTTTTGGGGATTCCATCTGGGTTCGGCAGTCCCAATCTCAAAGCGCCCCATGGGCCAGGGAGCCCGGTTTGGAGGCGTTCTCTTCGAGCTACCTTTTGCAAGAACCATTCAAATCCAAATCCAACCAAATCCAAACCACCAAAGGCTCACAGGTTCACCTCAAGAACCAGAGGTTTCATCCTCCCTGCTTTGGAGCCCGAGAAACTGGGAGGTGAATTCAAGGTGGTGCCCCAAACCTGAGGTCTCGGCCCATGCCGAAGCCAATGGGCTGCGCCAGCGAGATCAGGTCCCCTAACGGCTGACATCGACAAGCTTGTTCACGCTCAGAAAAAGTCGAAGCCGGTCCCGAAATCCTTTGTGGTGTGCCAGTTTTGGGGGCAAGGGAACGGTCCGGGCCTCCTTACTTGTGGGTTGCCCCCCCATTGATGCCAATCAATGAGGGCCATGAAAAAACAAAAATTACCTCATGGCACAAAATGATTTGTCTGCAACTATGTGGCATCCCTTTTAAATGTGTGTTGGATGTGTGAATTCCTTGGATGTCCTCTATCCATTCTGAAGCCCACAAGCAAACCAACACAAGCTTTCGGATATGTTTGTGTTGTCCGATGTGGTTGGTGCCCCTGCATTCAAAATAAAACGTAGCACGGAGTTTTAAATATAACCTCGAACCATGCTGAAGCCTGGAGATGGCGGGGGTTTGACATGGAATGCAACAATTGGAGGGAACTTTCATTGAAGAAGCTGAAGACCTTGTCAACCTTACAAACCTCTGTCGGCTTACGTTGGCATGGACAATAATTCTCTGTGCCAAAGGTCCAAAAAGCAAAGGATCCGCGTTTCGAACCCGCCCTCCACCCCTCGGCTTCTCGGAAAAGGAGGGCTGTTCGGGGTGTTAAAAGGAAACCGAGGGGAAAGCAACACAACTTGTGTGGGTCCCTAAAAAGAGACACACCCATGTCTTGCTCTTTTCTGCTTTCCGGGATGCCTAGACTTTAAACCCAAAAGTTCGACTGAAGAAACCCGGTGGCTTGAAGTCTACCTTGGGGGTCATCTCAAAAAATGGAACGTGACACCCAGTCAAGAGAACGGTTGAAATGCAAAATGCACACCCATGGTTGTTTCACCAAAACTTGGTTTCGGGATGTTTCGGGTGGCGGAAGAAGGACAACTTCCATCCCCAAATAAGCCCCCCTCTCCAAGGCCCCAACACCCAGGACGCCCCGAGCAAGGGGTCCCGAGCGCTTTTGGGGACACTCACTCCTCTCCTCCCGCAACCCGCAACCCGCAACCCGCAACCCGCAACCCGCAACCCGCAACACCCGGCCTATGACGAACTGCTGCGACCCGGCCAGCTCCAAGAACCCCACCCCGGCCACCGCCAGCACGGCCGCCGCCAGCGTCTGCGGGTCGAACTTCCGCTTCGTGACCTTCGATCAGGGCGGCTACCGGAGTTTGGGGCGTTCGGCAATTTCGCGGACCAATTCGTCCAGGTGGCTGGTAGCCTAGGCCCTCCAGAATAAGGGTACAAACTGTTTTTTCTGTAGTCTATTTTAGTAGGGGAACCCTCCACCAAACAAGGGTATAAGGGCACTACTGGGGGACCTAATTACTTTTAAGAGCACTGGCCGCTACGTGCCTAAGGTGGGAAACGATCAGCGTCAGCGCTGAGGGAAATACTCTCAACAGCATCTAAAAGGGGGTACGATTCCTATTTTGGGACACAGCATGACAGCCATTTTAGGGTTGGTCTCACGTCTGCACAGACTTTTTGGTTGTAGTGTGTGTGTGTGTGTGTGTGTCATTTTTGGTTCAGCCCACTTTAAAGGTTGGGACCAAAAAGGGAAACCAACAGGAAAAGCGAGTCCCATTTTGCGGGTCCCCTTGTTTCAAGACACATCCGGCTGCCTCACGGAAGTGTGGAAAGGGCTATCACTTCAAGGAGTTCACATCTGTACGAAAAAGCAAGCTGTTGAAAAGTGCACAGGTAGAAAACATCTTTTTGATGGCGGAGTCAGCGGGTTTCCCTTTAAAACCAGCCCCAAAGGGTTTCACCGGACGAAAGGTGGGGGAAGGGGCAAAGGGCAGGCTCAGATTGATCGTGGAAGCTTCTCCAGTCCGGTTTTGGTTTTCTCAAAAACTGAAAACACCGCCCTCTCCGTATTGCTCGATGTGTTCAAAAGACTTGTTTAATCCCTAGGGTTTCGTATTGGAATGCATGAGACCTCATAAATCTTTTGGGGACCCCATCTCCCGATGGCTTCCATCCCCAATTCACTCCCAGTGTCACCATCTTGGACCTGTCGTTTGTCGCAGAATTTCTTCAAGCAACCTTGCAGAAACCAGGAGGTTGCTGAAAAGATTAAGCCCACCAGCCCATGTTCGGCGTCGAACTCGTTTCAGTGGGGATTGTAAGACCACTTTTGGAGGGGTCTTGGCCCTCACCCCAAGAAAATAGTTTTCAGGGTCAACACACAAAAGCCGCTCAAAAGGAGCTTCCTCCCAAATCAGCTTCCCTCCAGTTGGTGGTGGCTTGGTGGCTAAGCGGGTGGTTTCCCCTCTACCCCAGAACCAGAGATTCAACTCCCCAAACCCATCCAAAGCACCAGGTAAAGGGAATCTCCCCAACGCCCAAAAGGCTGCCCCGTCTCCAAGACACTCCTATGATCATGGCCACGAAGACCACGTTCAGCGAGCCTCGGGCGAGCTCAAACCAGGATGTCACAAAGGCCAGTGGAATCGGAAGCGTGGATGTGACCTTGGGGAAGCCCTTTTAACACAAACATGTCTAGGGTTGTTCATGGCACCTCGACCAAAAAACGCCCGTCTCATATGAAACGCCCATGAGTCGGAACCCCAGGCTTTTCGCTCAAGGCCCTTCGATCCGAGGGTATCATTCGGTGATCCGATCGTGCAGATCGCCAGGGCACCTCAGTTGCTAACTCTGCTCCCCTGCAGAGTAAGTGACTAACTTTTAGTGGTTTAATGGAAACTGCCACTAAAGGCCTTCTAAAAAGCTGAGGAACCGGCTGGCTGGGAGCCAACAAGGTGAGACAGAGTCAGCAGCCATTCGTGGGCAAAGAGCTCTTCGGTCCTAACCTCCCTTGGCAAGGCTAAAATCCAAAGGACTTTTCAACTTTGCCAAAAATTGTCATTCGTCCCAAGCTTTGGCAAAATTTGCGGCAAGGGCACAGATGAAGCAAGACTTCGAGGCCGTGGTGGTCATGAGGCCGATGGCCTGGGGTTTTGCAAGTGACTCGGGCTCGAGGCGACGGATGCTCTGCCCAACCAAACTTGGTTGACGTTGGAAGGGCAGCAAACAATGTAAAAACATGGCGGTTAAGGGGTTGGATTTCAGCCACTAAACCACAATAAACAAAAATGTGAAACATGCTTCCCAACAACAACCATGCAAAGGGACCTGGCGACATTTGACGGGAACAAGCCCCTATTCATCCACCAAAGGTTATTGATCGGTTGCCTTGAGCACTGAGAAGGGTTCAGTTCTAGTCAAGGTCCAAGGTCACTGCCCCACAAGCCCATCAAGCCCTACCCCAAAGAAGGTGAGAAAAAAGCATCGACTCGCCACACAGCAAGAAGCCAACTGAAGGCCCCTTTTGAGCCTGGGCCCCGGGTGCGTTGCAACCCAAATCCAAAGGGCACCGCACCTCTCCGGACAATTCTGTCCAATTCTCAGAGGTTCAGCTCAAAGAGGCGGAGTTTCAAAAGGCCTCTCAAAGCAAAAGTCACCTTTCGGAAGGAAATAGACGGGTTTGGAGCAAACCCAAAGCCCGCGGAACCCATCTCGCTTGACCAAACCCATGAAAAGGCGCTTTCGGCCGGGCTCCCGCCTGGCCGATGTAGCCGAAGGCCACCCAACTGCCACACTCCACGGCACGCAGCAACACCTTCTGGGAGCTAATGCTGCTGATCCTGAGGCTTCCATGTCGCACACGCGTCCACGTGGGAAACAAAAAATACAAACAACAAAAGTCCAGTGATAGATTCCCGAAGCAAATGGAAGCAATAGATTCCCTCTCGTCAAAGATCACGCGTTGCTCTTCCCTGTAAACCAGGTAGCCCCAGAGAATTGGCAGGTTAGATGATTCCCTGGAAACCCTGGAAACCCTGGAATGATGATTCCCTTGTAAATGTCAAACAAGCCATGGGTTTTCCTTGGTTTCAAAGGGCTACGAAATAATTTGTTCGCAACCATCCACAGGCCTTGCTTGGCTTCTTTTTTTCCCTCAGCGCATTGCTTGGACCTTCCATGGCCAAAAAAGCCATGTCCACCATGGAAACTCCTTCCAGCGCCTTTCGGCTCTCCATTCCGCGGTTCCGACGAAGCCCAAGTTGAGATGGCGCCGTTGCGTCGCCAGATCGATTCCCGAAAGGCGAGTCCCCTAAGTCCACGCCTCCTCCGATGCTCATTGGTGTTTGGTCAAGTGAGTGAAGCACTTGAACACAAGTTACATGGGGAGTCTGTCAGAGTCCCTAGAGACAGACCTACATGTCAAGTGCAGCACATCGTTCTAGTTTTTGAAATGACGCAAATCAAGAGGTGCTGATGCAGATTCCGAAGTGCAGCATGATTAATGAGCCTATGTCGCTCGCATGCCGGATGCCGGGGCTAGCCCGTGCAAACTAGTTCTACATGGGAACCATGAAGCGCTGAGTTGTTGCAAGGAGCACATCATAATGGCCCATTTGTTGTGTGATTTGTTGAGTGGAAGGAGTGAAAGGATCGCATGCGAAGGTTCACCCCATATACCCCCAAAAAATGGGAACCCCGAGGGAAAAAAAAAAACTTTGGTTGCAATGATGACCGGTCCAGTTCCTTTTAGTGAAGTGAAGATGTTGAGACCACTTTTGGGGGGCCCTCACCCACCCGCCCCCAAGCCTAAGGACGAATTCTGCTTAGCTCCGGGGTTTCGATATGGCCCTGAAAAAACTAGCAGCCCAAATGGAGAGACCAAGCGGCCATGGAGATAAAGCGGCTGCCGCCACGGAAAAGCGGGAGACGGCGTACCTCGCCACTTGTGACACCCGATTTGCGAAAATTCCGCAGGGTTTGGTCCCCCGAACTCAGGGGTTGATCCAAAGCTCCTTTACATGAGGTGACCAGTAGAAGGAAACATATTTCACTGGGCAAGACGACCCGGGCCGCGAATATCCCGCAGCTCCAAGTCGGGCCCCTCAAATTGCTGAAGGGAGACTCGTCTTGTCCCTGGGCCCCCTGAGGCCCTGGGTCCTCGGGATATCGGTTCCTCACCCAAAAGCTTCTTGGAATGCACGAGCCACCAGGCGAAAAGATCGGCCAAACGGAAGACCCACGCCCATTTTTGAGTTCCACATCCGCAAGATTAGGCCCGACACTGGGAGTGATTCGGGGATGTCCCTCTAAAACCACAAAGAAGAGGCCTCAAAAAGAGACACACCCACTAACTGTGATCAACACCACTTCTGTGATATGCGCATTTCCTCAACAGGAACTCACACAATTGTTAAAATGTTGGGCTGTAGAAGCTTGCCACATTTGCCGTGGCCACTGTGCATTAAACAGAACCGCGCAGTGATTCTCTAAAGTCGCTGAAGTGTGGTTAACCTTCCCTGTACCTCAAGCAAGAGGGTCTGTTGAGCATGGCCCCCGGCAAGCAAATTCATACCCTGCTTCCAACAATGGAAGTGGACCATGTCAAGTTTGGGAAGACGACCATCCTCCTTTAAACGCCCCAAACATCTACTTCTATGATTCGATGCCCGGTTTTCCACGGTCGGGGCACATTTGAGTCGTAACTCCCGGCTGTGCAGTAATGTCCTCGCAGGGCGTTCTGCAACTTGCCCCCTCCGTGATAAAATCCACTGAGGCCGGGGTTAAAGAGGTCGCGCCGGCTTGGAGGCCGCTGGTGGAGCTCCAGCGACCCTCCAAAAAAGTTGGATGTTTGAGCGGGAGATCAAGGCGACCCAAAGACAGTCCTCAACAATTGCGCGCAACCCCTTTGCGCTCACCCTTGCCTTCTCGCGAAGAAGCTATCTTCCACTCGCGCAACTTCAAACATGTTCTGAGCGCTTGTGCGGAATTGTTTGCCCGGTTTCGCGTTCGGCGTTGTTCTTGTCCGGGCGCTTTTGCCTCGGCAAAAGAACTTGTGTGGGTGGTGTGGGTGTGGGCGGGTGTGGGTGGGGGTGGTGGGTGCGGGTCGGTGTGGGTGCGGGTGGATGCGGGTGAGTGTGGGTGGGTGTGGGTGGGTGGGTGGGTGGGTGTGGGTTGGGCGCGGATGGGTGTGGGGGTGTGGGTGCGGGACAGTGGATGTGGGGTGTGGGTGGGTGTGGGTGGGTGTGGGTGGGTGTGGGTGGGTGTGGGTGGGTGTGGGTGGGTGTGGGTGGGTGTGGAGGGGTGAGACGGGGTGGGTGGGGGGGGGGTGGGTGTGGGTTGGTGTGGGTGAGTGTGGGTGGGTGTCGGTGTGGGTGGGGGTGGGAGTGGGTGGGGGTGGGCGGGTTGTTTGTTTGGTTGGTTGCTTGCTTGCTTGCTTGCATGGTTTGTTCGTTCGTTCGTTTGCTTGCTTGCTTGCTTTTGCTTCCTTGCTTGTTTGGTTTGTTTGTACGTTGCTTCCTTGCTTGCTTGCTTGCTTGCTGGCTGGCTGGCTGGTTGGCTGGCTGGCTGGCTGCCTGGCTGGCTGGCTGGCTGGCTTGCTTGCTTGCTTGTTGGTTTGTTGGTTCGTTCGTTCGTTCGTTTGTTCGTTCGTTCGTTGCTTGCTTGCTTTCTTGCTTGCTTGCTTTCTTGCTTGCTTTCTTGCTTGCGTTGTTTGTTTCTTTGTTTCTTCTTTTGTTTCTTTGCTTATGTGCTTCTTTGTTTTTGTGCTTCTTTGTTTTTGTGCTTCTTTGTTTCTGTGTTTCTTTGTGTCTTTGTGTCTTTGCTTCGTAGTTTGTTTATCTCGTTGTTTCGTTGTTTCTTTGTTTCTTTGTTTCTGTGTATATCTGTTTCTGTCCTTCTTTGCTTCTTTGCTTCTTTGTTTATTTGCTGCTTTGCTTCGTTGTTTCTTTGCTTTTTTGTTTCTTTGTTCCTTTGTTTGTTTAGTTGTTGTTTTTCTTTGCTTCTGTGTTTCTGTGTCTGTGGTTCTTTGTTGTTTTGCGTGAATTTGGTTGTCTTTGCTGAATTGTTTCGTTGTTTTTGTCTTTCTTGATTTATTTATTTGTTTATTCCGTTCTTTATTTGTTTTATTTATTTGTTTATTTATGTGTTCCTTTATTTGTGTCTTTATTGATTTCTTTATTTCGTTCATGTGTGCTTTCTTTGTTTCTTTGTTTCTTCGTTTCTCTGTTTCTCTGTGTATGTGTTTCTGTGTTTCTTTGTTTATTTGTTGCTTTGTTTCTTTGCTTCGTTGTTTCTTTGTTTTTGCGTTTGTGCGCAGTCAGAGGTGTGACCCGCGGGGCTGACAATTTTTTCGGGATGTATATGTTTGTGGATTGGGATGCGCGGTTGTGGGAAACGGAAATGGTACATGCCCACTCAAAACAAACCCCAAAATAAGGTACTCTTGCGAGCTTGCCAAGCCCTTGGGAACCCCATACCACTCATACCAGTGGGGGGGGGGTTCTACTGAAACCCCTCCGGTCACCAAGCAGTCAGTTGGGATTCAACCGGAACTCTTTCCTCAAGTCTCTCGCAGTTCTTTTTGGGGAACGCAGAAAAAAGGTGATCGCATTTTGGAACCTTGACAACAACTGGTTGCCAAATCTGGGAAACTGTGGATCGTTTAAAAATCTATTTCGCACACTAAGAAACCCTGGTTGAAACCATCGTTCGCTGGTATTCACAGGGGAATCAACTCAGAATCCAGGGCTTCAAAACACAGTGGTGCGAGAAGCGGATTGTGCAACCATCCACAGAATCAGACCTGGACAACATGAGAAAATATGTCCAGCAGTGACATCGATTCCCTTAAAACTGACGAGGGAACAAACATTTCAGCAAGTGGAAGTGTTTAAGATCCTTCACCCAGAACCTCCGGCCGAAAAAGCCTTGTCTTTTCGCGAAAAGTCGCTGGCCCTAATTGCTTCCTTGATGACGGCGAAGTTGGTGGCCCAAAGCACGCAGAGCAGCAAAATCACCCCGCGCCAAGTCCAGCTGGGCAAAGATGCCAGCCTGCGGGCCGCTGGCCCGAGCCGCGCGAATCAAGGCCCAATTTGGTGGTTCAGGAGTTTCCACACAAGAAGCAGGGGTTCAGATCCCCAATCCAGACCACTGAGGGGTTACTTGACTTCGGACAGACCCGGAAAAAAGAGGCAGGCCAGGGACCCGGTCCGAAAAGAAAACTGATCTTCCCGGTCCCCTCCCACAGGTGCCGTGTTCATGGAAGGAAGGGTATCTGACACTCCCAATTAGAAGAACCCACATTTGGACACCAACGTTTGACACCGGAACGTGGGCTTCCCATTCCGTCTCAAGATCGGAGGTCTCCTGGACGATTGGAGCCCGTGCATGGCAAAACCCCAAAAGGCCTCGCCAGGTTGGCGTGTTGCTACAAACCCTCACCAGGACTTGAACCGGGGGTGATGTAGGTCTTTGGGCTCATCAAAAACAGGAACTCGTTTTGTGGGGTGCCACATCCAATCCAAAGCCAGAGCTTTCCTTCTTGAAATAACCTACAGCTTCGCAAGAATCCAAAAGGGGGTCCGACTCCCAGGAATTTCCCCTACAAATGGGTGGTGTTTGTTGGATTCCTTCTGTTGATCTGCAGAGTACTTGGGTGTGTCCTTTTTTGAGGGTACCCCTTCTTTGGAGGATTTGAAGCAATAAGCAAAACCCCAACACCCTTGCGCATATGTTGTGTGGAAAAAACATCTAAAACCACAGACCCGCTCCTTTCGTTTCCCGAAATCCAAAACCCGAAGCTTCGATCCCGGCGCTCCCCCCGGAGCGCGCCAGGCATCGGACAGCGCCATGCTCTCTGCTGGCTCCGCGTACTCCGCCGCCATGGGCACGTGCGACCTGGCTGATACGGGAGACATCCGGAAAACCAAATCCAGCAAATCCGTCTGGCGGTAGCCCCCCCCCCCAAACCACACTTGCTATGGGTATGTGTCCAAGCTAGAGATGCCTCCACTTTCTTACTGGGCTGTTCAACATGGTTCGGGTTGGCCAATCCGAGGATCCAGCAACCTGAAGAGAAGCCACTACAGAGACAGAGGACCAAATCCTCGCATAATCCAAGGTAAGGATTAAGGATTACCTTTGAACAGCCCAGTCAGTTGAGATCACTTGATGGATCTTTGGGATTCTTTGCAGCACATCCTTTTGGTTGAAGATAGATGGATTTCCCTGGTAGATTCTGGAACCACCGATCGGTCGACCAGGGCCATCAGTTCTTGACCAAACCAACCAAAAGGACACACATGATTGTCCGGTATGTTTTTGAGATCCAAACAGGGTGTCCAAAGCCTTAAGGATAAGACCCCAATCAGAGCAGACAAGGGTGAATAACCCCGAAACAAGGCAACAACTGTCGCATCTTCTTCTTTGGGGGTTTCTGGGACCCGCTCGGGAGGGAAAGTCTTTGATTTGCCAACTTCAGGAAACCCGAGCACAGCCGCTCGATATAGTGGATGAACCTTCGGCTGTTCCTGTGTAGAAGCGGCCACGCCGTCTCCGACTCAGTGACTCCGATTCGCGAGGCAGCCTTGTACGACCTCCTCCCCACTTCTCAGCCAATCGGAATCCTGGATTTACACAACCCTGGTTGGTTCATAGGGGCGTCCAATTCTGGTTTTAATTGGATTTACTCACCCCCATTGGAGGGGACCACCCCCGTATTAGTAAGCAAGGGTTTGTTCATCCGGGGTTCCCAGTACCCGACTCGCGCCATGTGTGCAGTCCGAGCCACGAAACCTCCTGGCGGGGCAGCTTTAAATGGGAACTGCCCGTGTTCTTCGCTGTTTATTCCTTCTGGCCCGTGAACCAAACTTTGGTCAAACGGGGGAATCCGCGCTTTTCTTTTCTTCCTGTGGAGGGTGGAAGGCAAAAGCGGGCTGGGGCTTAGAACGTGATATCAGCGCGCTTGAAGCCGCCCTAGCCGAAGCTTTGCTTTGCTAAGCTTTCCGAAAATGGCATATGCCGCATGCCCTTGTTCACTTCAGAACCGTGCTGCGGCCAGCTGAACTCTAAAAATATCGACCTCAAGCCAGGCCCCTCATCAATAGGGAGGTGATCTCTCGCTCTTGCTTGTGCAGACCTCAATGGCATTCTCTCAGCGGCATGTGGAATGCCTTGCTGCTTCTCAGCACGGAATGAGAAATGGAAGTGACTCCCATCAACACTCCATTTGTTGTTGTTGTTGTTGTTGTTGTTGTTGTTGTTGTTGTTGTTGTTGTTGTTGTTGTTGTTGTTGTTGTTGTTGATGATGATGATGATGATGATGATGATGATGATGATGATGATGATTCTTTTTAGAAAACAACATATGTTTTTTGCGGGAATCCCCCAAAACCGGTTCATTCGAAGCCCACCCGGACTCGGAGTCGTTGCGCCCTTACGAAGCATGCGTCGCGCAACGCGACTCGGAGACTCGGGCGCGTCTCCTGGTGCTTGGCCTGCGCGGGAGGCGTCGCCCCAATGAAGGATGGACCTGGCGCTTGGTGACCCAAAACGGTCAGCTTTGGGTCAAAACATGTATCCAAAACGGGAACCTGGGAAATGGAATGAGGTCTCAAGGATGCCAATGGTGCTTGCAGAGAACAAAAGAACACTCTGGCCGGCGGGAAAAATCAACAGAAAAACAACAACATGGATTACACAGGGGAAACGAGGGCTCCGTCCACCTTTCGGCTTGGGGCTCCGTCCCCTTTGTCGCTGTCAAATGGACTGTCAAGTCTATGTTCACCGAATCTCCTGCCACTGTTCGAGGCCAGATTTCAAAAGTTGGACCCGCCCATCGATCTGATCCTATGACTTTGACTTGTGCCGGGGATGATCTAAATATAAACGCAAGAAGACTGCAATCTGCGGAGTTAGCCGTTGCAGCATCCGAATCAACGGAATTCAAAGCGGCCAAGTCGAGTCAACCCACTCGATATGATATTGCGGGAAGTGATACGCTGGGTCCGACTTGGGACCAATCTCTTTTCCTATTCATGTGGGCAAAGGGCCGAACAGCGCAGATGTATCGGACGCTCCGGCTCGTCCCTGCGGATGTGGGAAGCTTGGGATTCCTTGCAGCAATTCATCGGGTTGCTCCAAGCTCCCCTGAGCAAAAGGTCAAACATTTTTTTGGGTCTAGTGGAAAGGCCCTTTGTTTCCAAAAGGTCTGGCGGGGGGCACCAAACGCCAGCCCTGAATACTTGGCTTCTCCGGTTTGGCCTTTTCAGCCCCACGACCCGCCCGTGAAACATCCAGGCCTAGATGTGAGAGGCATATCGCGCCCAGAACCAGCACCTTGGAACTCTGTCTCAGCTTCAAAAACTCCAACACGATCACGAAACAGGGGGCGTTGGACATGTGTATACATATATGCATCTTTACAGATACCTTTTATGTGTGTCTATATATATATATTATATATACATATATATATATATATATTTATAATATATCTCCCGGACAAACCACATGCACCAGTCAGGCCAAGCCCTTTCAACTGGCATGCTTGGCTTCCCCCAAAAAGAGGGAAGTATCATGACCCTGCAAAACAGCTCTGAAGCCGCCATCTCAGCGTTGCACCCCCAGCCCCAAGCTACACCTCCGTCGGCCCGCCATTGCTGCGAGGCTTATGCTAACTCGGATCCGTCTGAAGCGCTGTTTGGCTTGTCACTTCCTCACTGAACAACGTGCTGAGAAACGGCCAACCACCGAGCCGGGAGGCCTTGCGGCAAGTTTCGAGCTCCTCCTTACCCGCTGCACCACTAACATCTGGGCAAAATACTATTGTTTTGTTTGCTTGTTTTTAAGGAAATATGGGAACACCCCCAATAAAAGACCTTCATGGGTAAGCTTGTTTAACCCCGAGGTGAGCTTGTTATGATTTACCCAGACAGGTGCCTTGTGGAGGAAAGGTGACTTGTCAGAGCCCGGTTTTGGGGGTTCTTTTCCAAGCTTCTCCCCGATCAGTTGCTCGTGCCAAGGGAGCCGACTTGGTTCGTGGCAACTTTGGCCCTCCAGTTCCTCATGCTGCGCACCGAAAACCCGCCCAAATGAAAGCGCAATGTACGAATCTGTGGAAAAACGGCCTACGTAAGGCGTGGAAGAAGCCTACTTCCTTCGAGATTCAGACATCCACAAAGGCATACTCTGGCTATGAGGGGCCGGATACCTCACATATGGGTGTGCCTTAGGTAGATTTCTTATGCGGTTCTAACAGGAAGTGACAGGAAGAACCACATTTGTTTACTTTATTTTTTTAAAGACAGGCCCATATGAGCCTGGTACGGAAACAACCCCAAAGATGCCTCTCACATTCGGACCGGACCGTGTCAGCCAGCCACGGTTCGGTCCAGGAGGTCCCCTCCGCGGCAGGGCTCCATAATCAAATAGAAGCACCTGAGCCACCCGGACTCCTTTTTCAGTGGCGCGCGACGGGGTTCCTTGCGATAACCCTTTATTCGCCAAAAAAAGGCACCCTCCAAAAATGACACGCCCAAATGCTACATGTCGGGTGTCGGAAAACATCAGGGAGAAATGAACAATACACTAGTTATATGGGTGTGAATTTTCATGAGGACATCTCTCTCTCTCTCTCTGTGTTTCAACCTTGTGGGAAAAGCGGCTGAGGCTCAAAACTCAGGACTCCTTCACGTGACTTATCTTCTTGTTTACAACCATTCTTGACTGCTACCTTGGACCAACCAACTCCTGTTGCCATTTACCTTTTCCGATGATGAAGTCTAAGATCAACCGCTGCTAGTACCCCCAACTGGACCTGCGGGCCCGGGCCCATGGACCGAGAAAAAAACGGCCCAAAGCGGCGCACCGGTTTTTTTTTGGAGCGCGACTTTCCTTAGGCAGGGCTCCTGCGTAACGGGCCATGGGGGAAAAACGCTGGCCAACTCAACCTCTCCAGGCCCCAAGACTGTCACGAACAGTCCCGGTTTGGCCATGGTCTCCATTTTCTAAGCAACACTCCAGAAGCTTCGTGAACCCCCGGATGAATAGATACCAATCCTATTCCTACGGCCCTCCAAAAGTGCTCTGACTCCAAGGAAAAGTGGAAAAAATGAGAACACCAATCCAGCAGTGGCGTTCATTCCCTGTAAAACCAAAAGGGGATTTTGCTAATTAAAACATTGCAACTGGAAGTTCGTGGCAACCCCTTGACTACGTGACTACACCGAACCGACCGTTTCGGTCTCTCCGTTCGGAAAGAAGCCGAAGCGCTGCTCATCCTCAAAGTCTTCGAAGATCCGCACCTTCCGATAGCTGACACACAGCCCCGGCTGCTTTTCTGTCGGGTCACGAGGGTTACCAAAAAAAAAAAAAAAACCTACAAAGGCGGCCGCACCTAAGCCTGGCTGGGACTGTCCCTTGCTAATCTTCACTTACCCGGGTTTTGATTGTGCCTCATTGCTATCTAGGGTTGGTCCCTCATTTCTGGTGTTGTGTTTTGCGGCTTAAACTATAGTTTACATATGTTCAAACAGTGTGTTGACCCAAGTCTGGTGCCCTCCAACCACGTTGCATGCCAAACACCAAAAACGGGCCTGTAAGGCTCGGAAATACACCCATTACTTCGACACGACCCAATTTGACAAGAGCCCTGGAGACACTAGGCTGATGTAAGCCTGCGCAAACAAGCTGAATCGCGAAACGCAGCTTCTGGGAATACGAGAGGCTGGGGAGTACGAGAGGCTTTCTACCAGCCCTCCAGATCTTCTTGCGGGCACCCTGCGCGGCTTTAAATTTTGGGCATTGGTTGATAAGGACATTTTGATGCGTCAACCCTGCAACCCCCCCGAGTTCCTTTGGCAACAACCGCCTTTTTCAGAAGCTTTGGCTGTTTCAACCTTGACCCTGTCCCCTTCGGGGTAGTCCTGATGACAACTGCGTTGGGGCAGGCTTGGTATACCTCCAGGAGGAAAGCTACAACTTGGGCTGGCCACACGGGCGTGTGCTTTTGTTTAGGCTAACATGTTCATGTGAGTTTTCCTCCATTTACTGAAGTCCCCCGGAAAAAAATTGGGAACATATGTTCAGTGAAGCATGGATTCCCTTCTGAACCCAGCTACCTTGGGAGGTCTCTCTCGCATCTCGGGTGCCGGGGCGACATGGGGATGGTCCAGCTGCTTTAAGACCTGACATCCGAGAAAGATCCCCCCGCCAATGCGGAAAACACACCGAGGGGGCGAGGGGGGAAAAGGGGGTTCGGCTGCCCTTTTGTTTGCTTTTCTTGGCACGTTGGTTGATTTGGATCCCGGGCAACTCCTTTGGTTCAGTTTGGAGGGCTTCCTCCACCCCATACGGGTGTTTTTCCAAAGTCAACATTCGATTCTAGAACGCGCGTCATAAAAGGGGCAAGGGCGGCATTGATCTGGGACGTAAGACGGCTCCCCCAAACTCAGGGCTAGCAGTTTGGAAGGAATCGACATGCTTTCTGCAAGATATGGAAAACAAACATCCGGGTAAAAAACAAAACGTGTGAAACGGTTTGGCTGCCGCAAGAATTGCAGTTTGCGCCTGGGGTTGTGTCCCATGTTGCTAAATGTGTCGGTGCT